AGAAGAAAGGTAGGATTATATAATATCAAAAAATAAATGGGCTGGCTGGCAATGACAATGGCCAAAAGAAAGCACAATTTACCATCTGATGATACCACCTGATATTCATTATTCCAACCCCACTGTCTCCCTATCACTCATCAGGACACATGTCCAGATGCACACAAAAAGCTAATAGCAAGTCACCTTGAGAAGTTTAATCATAACCCATCAACAGAAGAGCCCGTCACATAGTCAACACTAGAATGAGTATATTATTAGGATTGCTAATCACTAATTAAAATCTCAAGATCAGGTTTCTGGGCACATCGTGCTACATTTGTGCTGTAGGCAGGTCCCAGATGGTATGCAAACCAAGTCTGGAGTCGGTTTCTTTTTTTTTTTTTTTTTGAGACAGAGTCTCGCTTTGTTGTCCAGGCTAGAGTGAGTGCTGTGGCGTCAGGCTAGCTCACAGCAACCTCAAACTCCTGGGCTCGAGCGATCCTTCTGCCTCAGCCTCCCGAGTAGCTGGGACTACAGGCATGTGCCACCATGCCCGGCTAATTTTTTTTTTTTATATACATATCAGTTGGCCAATTAATTTCTTTCTATTTATAGTAGAGACGGGGTCTCGCTCTTGCTCAGGCTGGTTTTGAACTCCTGACCTCGAGCAATCCGCCCGCCTCGGCCTCCCAGAGAGCTAGGATTACAGGCGTGAGCCACCACGCCCGGCTGGAGTTGGTTTCTTCATAATAGGCTGTTCCTACAATATCACAAAGGTTGTAGGCAACAGAATTGTGCAACAAGAGCAAGAAAACTCTGCATACAGTCTCCTCAGGCACAGCCTTGCTTTTGCAGATCTGAGAGAAGTTTCTGGTCAAATTCTGGGTCTCAGAAATAAGGCTGTTGCTTAAAACAGCCAAAGGTGCCTAGCTTTACTCCTTATTGAGAAAGAATAGTCATAATATTTAACATTCTCCCCCCTTCCTCTGGAATTGACTGGGAGAGGCTACCAGGTAACTTTCTGAAGTGATGCCAATGCTCTATATCTTGATAGGAGAGTGTATGTGACGTGGGTGCATACACTTGTCAAAACTTATAGGACTGTTTTAAGATTCATGCATTTCACAGTCTATTACTTCTACCTAGGGAAAAAAAACACTATGCACATATATTGAACTCCAGTTACTACAATTATTTTCTGTAGTAGTACGGGCTAGCAATTTTGAAACTAGTTTCTGTATATTCTAGACTTAAGCAAGTGAGTAAATATATCCAGGCTAATGAAAGCCAGTTGTTTTCACTGTTGGAAAGGTAGTTACGAACATAGAAAGAAGGAAATTAATATCTCCAAAGGGGATAAAATGCATCACATGCCTCCTGACAGTATACAACATCACTTCTCTGGTACTCCTATCAAAAATTCATATCCTGAGTCTAATCATAAGGAAACATTGGGCAAATCCAAATTGAAGGAAATTCTACACAAATAACTGGCAAAATGTTGAGGTTAAAAAAGAAAAAGAAAGGCTGAGGAATTTTTTCCAGATTGAAGGAAGCCAAAGAGATATGACAACTAAATGCTATGCTTGATCCTGGTCTGGGAGAGAAAAACCTATAAAGATCATTAACTGGTACAAACAACAATATCTGAATATAGATTGTGGATTAGATAATAGTAATAAGCAAGCATTAAATTGCCTGAATTTAATAAGTGTATTGTGGGCCGGGTGTGGTGGCTCACGCCTGTAATCCTAGCTCTCTGAGAGGCCGAGGCGGGCGGATTGCTCAAGGTCAGGGGTTCGAAACTACCCTGAGCAAGAGCAAGACCCCGTCTCTACTCTAAATAGAAAGAAATTAATTGGCCAACTAATGTATATAGAAAAAATTAGCTGGGCATGGTGGCGCTTGCCTGTAGTCCCAGCTACTTGGGAGGCTGAGGCAGGAGGATTGCTTGAGTCCAGGAGTTTGAGGTTGCTGTGAGCTAGGCTGATGCCACCGCACTCACTCTAGCCTGGGCAACAAAGTGAGACTCTGTCTCAAAAAAAAAAAAAAAAAAAGTATTGTGTTTAGGTAAAAGAATGTCCTTGTGCTTGGGAAATTTACATTGAAGTATTCAGTTACAAAAGATCACAATGTCTCCAATCAAGAAAAAAAAATAGGGGGAGAAGGAGGAAAGGAGGAGGGAAGGGGGAAGAGAACACATACACATGGGGCAAAATGTTAACAATTGGTGAATCTGGGTAAAAGGTATACAGGAGTTCCTTGTACTATTCTTGCAACTTTTCTATAAGTTTAAAATTATATGAAAGTAGAAAGTTAACCAAAAGATACCCTAACTGCCCCACAATATTTAGGTGAAAGGCTAAAATAACTATCTCAATGCATTATGAGAAATTCTTTCAGGAATATTAGTTTCAAAATTATACTTTTCCCTATGGTAGTAACTCCCCAGTTCTCTAATTGGCTCTAAATTCCTTTGTAGAACCAAAAAACAACTCATATAAACTTCAAATAAGGTTTTTTGAAGTTTCAGTGACAGATACCATCATTTTATAAAGTTCTGCAAGACAATGAACAGAAACTGAAATGAAAGCAATTACTCACCACCTGCCTCCCCCCTCCTAGATTCTTTAATATTTTTTTGTAAGATGAAACAATTCATCTCACTGAATGTCAAGTTAAGATCAAATAAGATAAGAAATGATTTGTGGGTAAATGGTTTGACCTTCCCTCCCAAAGAAGCAGAGAAGTGTATTCTTTTCTACCTCAGGCTATATAAAAAGATGTATACACATATGTATATTTAACGAACAAGGTAATGAATAAGAGCATTATTACTCAGCAGAGCTTATCCACCTCTCCAATCTTTCTGTCTCTATGTGTGATTAAATCAAGACACAAGCATGGCCTCTATAAAAAAAGCAAAATACTAAAAACTACCAAAGGAAAAAATTACTTCATGAATGTCAAAGGAGAAATTTTAAAACTAATTTTTAGCCCCAATGAATTTTTTGAAACAATAACAATTATGATATGACTCAGTCTAAAAAGTATTATGTTAAATATGCATTAAGAAAAATTCACATGCATAGAGATGAAAATGCAATTAGATCTCTCATTTCAAAGTATTAATGTTGGGTTTGCAGAAAATAGAGAATGATATTCTCCTAAGCAAATAGAGAAGGTAGCCAAGTAAGTATATGCTGTATTTCTACTGTAAGGAAATACGTGCACCAATGAAGCAACCTTTTCAGCACAAAAGAAATTTAATACCCAGATCACATGAAAAGTGATCGCTATGGGAATAGCACAGCTTTAGTTAAAATCCAAGTCAGTTTGTATTAAATCATCCAGCGTGTTTATGTAAAGCAGGACTCTCAGAATGACCACCACCAGGAAATCATTTTGCTAACAAAAAAGTGATATCTACAAATAATTTGATGCTTGTAATGAGTGTGAAAGATAATAAGCGTGCATTTGTAAAATTCAAAGCTATTCTCTTTTAAATAATATAAGGGCCCCAGTTAACTGGTATGCTTTTGATTCTTTTATAAACAGTATATCAATGGCTAATTTAATTAGAAATAGAGCAACAAAAAATATTTGCATTTCACTTAGAGAACCCAATTATCTCTATTTCAATGACTAGCCAGACCTATAGAAAGCCATAGAAAAACTTTTGGCACCTGTGCCAAATGATTTCATATGAAAATTAATACTGCCAAGTTATATTGAGACGAATTAAGCTCAGCCTTTCAAAAAAATTACTCCACTAAAGAGCATATAATCCTAAAACACGCATTTCTGAAGATAGAAGTGCACGTAGACATCCTTTAGGTCCTAACTTTAGCACGTACAAGATATCTTACAGAAACTACAGGAAGAATGAGCTCATGTGTAGCTACTAACACATGGTAAACTTTAAATCTCAACATAGGCACTTGGGATGCGTAGTGATAAAACAGGGCTTAGTCTACTTTCAAAGCAAAAAGAAAATAATTAACTTTTTGAGCATCTAAATTTAACGAAATTTATCAACATTGTTTGTCAAATCGACATTCAATTTTAGAGAAACTGGTCAGGATTGTACTTCTCATAAAATATAACTCAAGTAAAGTTTTCAAAGGAAGCTTGTCAACTTAGAGAGCATTTCCCCAGGATTCAATTCCTTCCACAGTGCCAGATGAAGGGTACACAGAAAAGAAGTACCAAATTATAACTGAGACGCCATAGTTGGGGATTAGTGACCCCCAGTACTATTTTGCATAGCACTTTGACATAAAAACCTTTACTTATCAAGAACCGTGTGTCTGAAAAGCTCAGGCCGAGTCACTGGACGCTGAAAGGCTTACAGGGACGCCCAAATGGAAATCAGCTACCACACACATACATGTAAAAATAACTCAGACAGTGTCTCAAAGCCTATTAAAAAATGAGATGCCATTACTACAGTTTTGAGATACATCAGCTGTTTCCTATTACAATGGGCAACATACCAGTTCTATTTTTAGAGCCTCTGGAAAGATCAAAGCTGAAGGGGCCCTTTTATTGGCTCCCCATCTAGTCCCCTAATCTGTTTACTTTTTCTGTGTCATTATATGGATCTCCAAAAGACACACAGTCAGACTGCCTGGAATCCCCCACCATTGTAGTAATGCTTAAAAATTGCTCTATAAGTGTCCACACAAGGAAGGAATCCTCTGGGGAGGAACAAAAATCAGTAGCTCCAACTCAAACCAAAATTTCCATGATGAAAGAATTGATACAGGGCTACAATGCCTAACTCAGTCTTTCTCTGTGCACTATAAAGCAAGTTTTCTCAGGCTAGTTTCTCTATGAGAACAAATACAGATAAATGAAAACAAGAAAGTCCTTTCTGGTTGTTTAGACCCCAGGGCTCCCCCTCAAAAGGCAAGGGCCTTTTGGTTTGGTTTCAATGGTGCTGGCTGGTAAGGCTGAGGTCAAATGCTGACGGGCTCACTTTTAAAAACAAGTCCCTCACATGTAAAATGACTTACTTTGGAAGAACAAGCTGTACATTTGTCAAATGCCAGGCTGACAGGAAGGACATTATCAAACCGTGACAGAAATCCCCGGATCTAAAAACAAACAAAACAAAACAAAACAATTCACATCAAGCACAAAATGATCACATCTACAAAATCCACGTCTAGTTTCTGACAAGGAGGAGGAAATGATTAATATGGTGGTCCTGACAGAGATTACTAGCAAAAATGATGTTCAACAGGAATATTTTCCCTTGTACTGTAATTAGTTTGGGGAAGAACTATATTAGGTCCTTTGTTCTATGAGAAACCAGGGCTTACAAGCTTTTCAAATATTTGAGACCTAAAAAACAAATTGACTCCATTATACAAAAAGCAAGCTGTCATATGTATTGTTTTAACAAATGTCTTCAAAAACGTAACAAGTCAACCAGTATACTTTGACTCAACTGTCAGGTGTGTTACAGTGAATATGGGACAAATGTGCATTTCTACAATATGATATTGGGTGGGGCCTCGAAAGGAGACTATGGAAGGCAGAAATGGTCCTAAATATATATCCAGTTATTTGCCTGATTTGGAACAGAGATAAATTAAATGTAAACCATCCAATTTATGGGGAAACAGCACCACCTTGAGCATGAACTTCTGGACTACAACTGATTTACATTTACAGACTATCAGCTATAACCAGGTTTCACAAACTATGATTTAAGTAATTTATTCTGATTATACCTCTGGAACTATACTTACACCAAAAGGGGATTTTTAATGTTATATATCATTAAAATATTAATACTAAAAATATAAATGGCAAAATTGCTAAAGTCCTCACAAGACTCAACACAAAATATGCCAGATAACACAAATCTTCCTAACTATCCAATTTTAGTCTGGCCAAACTCAGGTTCAGGAAGATGAAACAACTTGGCTTGAGTAAACAGTACATGACAGAGCTAAAATTCAAAAGTAGACCTCCTAAGCTGGGTGACAGGTTTTAAAAAAGAAAACACCATAAAAGCGGACCTCCTGACTGTAAACCTGGCCCAGGCTTCCTCCCTCTTTCCCTCCCTCTCAAGATATCACAGCTTTGTTCTTCAATATCAGGGCTCCTGGCAACTTTAAAAACCTCACTTGAACAAAAGAATAAACCCATCCACCCATCTACTCTCAGTGCCTTTAACTATGCTATCACCAACATCCTCCCCACAAAAAACAAAACGAAGCAAAAAACACTGGACAAACTGGAGAAAAAGACTTCAGAGTTTGAACAACTCTATGACCACATTGCAACAGTGTACTCACATGTGCATACTCGTCCCTAGGAAAAAAATCTAACTTTGATGGGACTGCCTATAGCAATTTAAAAACTGTCCTTATCAATATGCTATATAATTTTAATATGCAATCCAAGATCAAAACTGTTTGGTAGAGATGATAAATTAGGGAGTTGGGATCAGTTTAATGGCCTCATTGTGAATCTTTAAAAATGAAACAATCTTTTAGCTCCCTATATCTCAGGCATGTGGTGACCCTTTCATAATCCAGTATGAGGCACATCAAGGGTCATACGTTTGCTATTCAGGACACCAAAACATGAGACGTCAAAATGGCAGGACAGACTTTGATGGCAAGTGGCAGATGAGAATGTTGAAATCCTTATGAGCCCTGGAGTTTTACGGGCTTAAAACAATGCTCCCATTGAGCCTCCTCCATATCCCAATTACTCTGATAGTAAGTTTACATAGAAAAGAGCTTTATCATAGTTAGCATACTTTCCATTAAAATGTTCTTTAACATGGCCTACATGTGAATGCCTCCATGTGTGTGTCATGGTAGGTTTCTGCAATCTGTTTTCTCTCATTTAGCTTCCATCAAGCTTTCTTTATGTTGCACAAAGAATATTGGTGATTTTCTGTGCTGAACTATCTTATGATTGGAGATGAGGAGGTAAAGCTAAGGGGCCGGGAAGAGGCAGTCTTGGTTAGGAGCAAAAGGGAAGAGAAAAAATGGAGAGGAAGGAAAGAGAAAACAAAAAACAACTGCCAAAAAACCCAAGTGGTGAGGAATAGAAGAAGAAAGGGGCGGCTGGCTGAGCAAGGGCCCACACACCATTGTTTCACAGCCCCCCACAGCTCTTTACTGGGAAACTGTGATTCATTTTCCCAGGAAATGAAGTACAATAGTATCTGTTTGTGAGGACTTTCAAATTCACCCAGGTGGTATCAGAAGGCCCAGAGGCTAATCAAAGTAATTCCAGTTTTAGATAATTTAAAAGAGGAAATCCTTCTCAGACTGATTCAAGTGATGCCCAGGGCACCTCCACAAGTGGCCTCTCTCCTCTGTTTAATGCAGCAGGGTGCTGTCCAGCCACACATCCACATGCTCATCTTCCTTAAAAGCCACTCAGCTCAAACACACCTCTTTTATAAATCCTCAATTTACCTACCGCTCAACCTAGAAATAATGTCTCCACCCTCTGAAATCCTTCTTTTGGTCTTTATGCCCAAAATACCTCAAGTAATAGTTTTTTAAAATTATTAACAGGTTTGAGATATAATTCATATGCCATAAAATTCATCTTTTTTAAAGTGTACAATTCAGTGTTTTTTAGTATATTTACAGAATTTTGCAATCACCACCACTATCTAATTTCAGAACATGTCTATCACCACCCCCAAAGAAATCCAGAATCCAAAAGTGATTAGTCCTCATTCTTCCCTTTTCTCAGACTCTGGCAACCACCAATGTACTTTCTATTTCTGTTGATTTGCCTGTTCTGCATATTTCCTGTAAGTAAAATTATATATGACTGGCTTCTTTCATTTGGCATAATGTTTTCATCTACATTATATTATATATATTAAATATATATCAGTACTTCATTCCTTTACATTGCCAAATAATATTCAATTGTATGGATATGCCACATTTAGCCTTTCCTCTTAGGTATATACTTAGGAATGGAATTGGGTCATATGATAACTCTAAGATTTTGAGAAACTGCCAAACTGTTTTCGAAAGTGACTATACCATATTACATTCCCACTAGCAATGTATGAGGGTTTCAATTTTTCCACTTCCTTGTCAACATTTGTTATTGTCTCTTTTTGATTACAGCCATCCTGATGAGCATGAAATAGTATCTAACTGTGGATTTGATTTGCATTTCTCTAATGACTAGTAACATCAAGCATCTTTCCATGTGTGCTTCTTGACATTTTGTATTATCTTCTCTGAAGAAATGTCTGTTCAAATCTTTTGCCAAGTTTTAAATTGGGTTGTCTTTTTATTGTTGAAGTGTAGGCCCTTTATATATTCTGGATACAAGTTTCTTATCATATATATATGACTTGCAAATACATTCTCCCATTCTACAGTTTATTTTTCCACTTTCTTGAAGCACCGAAAGTTTATATTTTTGTGAAACCCTATTTATCCATTTTTTTTCTTCTGTTGGTCTTTGGTGTCATATATAAGAAACCATTGTTTAATCCAAGGCCATGAAGATTTATGATGTTTTCTTCTAGGAGTTGTACAGTTTTAGCTCTTTTAGGTCTATGGTCCATTTTGAATTAATTTTTATAGATAATATGAAATAAGGATCTAAATTCATTCTTTTGCATGTGGAAATCCAGTTGTCTTAGTACTATTTGTTGAAAAAACTATTCTTTCCTCACTGAGTTGTCATCAGTTGGCCATAAATGTAAGAGCTTTTCTGGACTCTCAATTCTATTCCATTGATCTATAATCTGTATGTAAATACTAAGTTGTCTTGATTCAGCAGCTTTGTAGTAAGTTTGAAACTAGAAAGGGTGAGTCCTCCAACTTTGTTCTTTTTCAAGATTGTTTTGGCTATTCTAGGTCCCTTGCATTTCCATATGAACTTTAGGATCAGCTTGCATGCTATAATTACTTTAACAAATGTTTTTCGCCTGGGCACAGTGGCTCATGCCTGTAATCCTAGCACTTTTGAGGCCAAGGTGGGAGGACGACTTGAGCCCAGAAGTTTGAGACCAGCCTGAGGACCACAGTGAGGCCCCCTCTCTACAAAAATTTAAAAAATTGCCAATGTAGTGGTATATGCCTGTAGTCCTAGCTACTTGGGAGGCCAAGGCAGAAGGATCACTTGAGCTCAGGAGTTCAAGGTTGCAGTAAGCTATAATGATGGCTGGGCAACTAAAACCCTGTCTCCAAAAAAAAAAAAAAAGAAAGAAAAGAAAAAATTATCTCCCTTGCCTTTAGAGAATAAAACAGAAGCTGAACTACTGGTATTTACTCACAGCACAGTGATTTGCTCATAAGACATACTCAAAAAATTATGAAATGAACTAGTAAAACATAAAGAAGCAAAAGCCTGCAAAATCATGTTATATCTGAATTGTACAAAGCAAACAGGTACCAAATAAACCATAAAAAAAAATCTAACTTACCATTCACATTTTTCAGGCAATTTGAGCCCTTCCCATCATCAATGCTTTAAATCCCAAGTACTATAAATGTGCTGAATTTCTACAATAGGCTCGCCATTCCTTCAATCTTACAAGAACTGCATAAAATGTAGAGAGCAGAGGTTGCTACTTAAAATTTTAGCACCTTAGACACACAAAGAAATCCCAGAGCAATTCAGACTCCAGGTACGAGGGACGTTATGCCAAAGTCTTAATAAATATATACACACCTATTTTGGGAGGCCAGACCCCAACTAACAATCAAAGAAGATTCGTCCCTTGTTTAGGTGGAGAAAAATACACCATGACTTTCCTACTTAGAAGTGTGTAAAGTCTATGAAGCAATGTGCTTGTTCAGTGTTTTTCTAAACTTGCCTCATCAGAAGCAGACCCCATAACTTGATTCAAAAGGTTGGGGTGTGGCCTGAGAATCTGGCCAATTTTTTTTTATTTCAGCATATTATGGGGGTATAAATGTTTATGTTACATGTGTTGCTGTCCTCCCTCCCCCCCCCCAGAGTCAGAGCTGCAAGCGTGTCCATCCCCCAGATGGTGGGCATCACACTCATTATGTGTGTATATACCCATCCTCTCCTCCCCGCTCCCACCTGCCCGATGCCCGATAAATTTTATTCCTATATG